TGATGCAAAAGCAGGAACTACTGGCTCACCCCTGTAACCCTCAGTATCATAATTCTAAGCCAGCTTGGGCAAGAAAGTCCATAACACTATTATCTCAAATTTACCACCAAAAAGCCAGAAGTAGGGCTGTGGTAGGAATGTGGTAGAGTGCTTGCCTAGCATGCATGAAGCACCTCAGTAACATAAACAGAAAAGGCCAGAAGTGGTGCTGTGGCTCAAGTGGTAGAGCACTAGCCTTCGCCTTGAGCACATAGAGGCTCAGGAACAGAGCCCAGGCCTGAGTTCAAGCCCCACAACTGATGAAACAAGAAAGGAAGAAAGAAAGGAAGGAAGGAAGGAAGGAAGAAAGGAAAGAAGGAAGGAAGGGAGAGAGGGAGGGAGGGAGGGAGGGAGGGAGAGAGGGAGGGAGGGAGAGAGGGAGGGAGAGAGGGAGGGAGGGAGGGAGGGAGGCAGGCAGGCAGGCAGGCAGGCAGGCTGGCTGGCTGGGCGCCGGTGGCTCACGCCTGTAATCCTAGCTACTCAGGAAGCTGAGATCTGAGGATCATGGTTCAAAGCCAGCCTGGGCAGGAAAGTCTGTGAGACTCTTATCTCCAATAAACCACTCAGAAAACCAGAAGTAGCACTATGGCTCAAGTGATAGAGTGCTTGCTAAAGAGCTGAGGGACAGTGCCCAGGCCCAGAGTTCAAGCTCCACAACCCACAAAAAAAAGGAAGAAAGGAAGGAAGGAAAGGGAAAGGGGAAGGAAAGGAAAAAGAAAAACCCAGAAATAGAACTGTGACTCAAGTGGTAAAGCGCTAGCCTGAAGCAAAGAAGCTCAGGGACAGTGCCCAGCCTGAGTTCAAGCCCTAGGAAGAAAGAAAGAAAGAAAGAAAGAAAGAAAGAAAGAAAGAAAGAAAGAAAGAAAGAAAGAAAGAAAGAAAGAAAGAAAGAAAGAAAGAAAGAAAGAGAGAGAGAGAGAGAGAGAGAGAGAGGGAGGGAGGGAGGGAGGGAGGGAGGGAGGGAGGGAGGGAAGGAAGGAAAGAAAGAAAGAAAGAAAGAAAGAAAGAAAGAAAGAAAGAAAGAAAGAAAGAAAGAAAGAAAGAAAGAAAGAAAGAAAGAAAGAAAGAAAGAAAGAAAGGAAGAAAGAAGGAAAGAAAGAGGGGATGTGGACGTGTAGATCAAGTGGTAGAATACCAACTTTAGGTGAAAAAGCCAAGCAAGAAAGTGAGTCTCTGAATTCAAGCCACAGTACTGGCATAAGGGACAAAAAAAAAAGGCAGGTTGATGATGTGTTTGAGATGTAGGTGATGTAGAGCATTTGTGTAGCATGCATGAGGCATGTGGCTCTAGGTCTGACCTCTGGCAATGGAAATAAAAATGTGTGTTCATTCTATACAATATCTGTAAAAGCAAGTATTTTAAAAGGCAAGAAGATAAAAAATATAGAAATATGGAGCATTCAGACAGTATTGAGTTCTCAGGGATAGGTAGGCAAAATGTAGGAAAGGTAGGAAATAAGATGAGTAAGGTAGTAAGGAAATAAGATGGATATCTCATTCCATTGTCATATCAGGCACTATGAATGTGCCTCATCCTAACCAGTACATTAAGAGATGGCTACTACCAAATATCATACAATTATTAACTATAAGGCCCTGTATGAGGCAGTTGGAATACAGAAAAGTATAGACTGTATTTGAAGCATGAGGAGTCACTAGAATGGAAATTAGCTACACTGTGGGGTGGTTTTTGTTGTTGTTGTTGTTTGTTTTTTCCTGGTTATGGGGCCTGAACTCTGGGCCTGAGCACTGTCCCTCAGCTCTTCATCTCAAAGCTAGCACTCTAGAACTTGAGCCACAGCACCACTTCTGGCTTTTTCTGCTTATGTGGTACTGAGGAATCGAACCAGGGCCTCATGCATGCAAGGCAAAGACTCTACCACTGAGCCACCTTCCCAGCCCTGCACAGTGGTTTTATGTGCTTTTTTTTTGGGGGGGGGGGCGGTCATGGGGCTTTAACTACTTGGGCTTCAGTGCTGTCCCTCAGCTCTTCAGCTCAAGGCTAGTGCTCTACCACTTAAGCCAAAGTACCACTTAGAGTTTTCTGGTGGTTTATTAGAAATAAGAGTCTCACAGACTTTCCTGCCTGTGCTGGCTTTTAACCATGATCCCCAGATCTCAGCCTCCTAAGTAGCTAAGATTACAGGTATGAGCCACCAGCACCCAGCTTATGTGCTTTTCAGATAGCCTACAAAATTCAGATTTCTACTTCAACTTCATGGACTTGGAAACTTAGTTTGTTAGACTACAAGAGTAGCCAGGCACTGATGGCTCATGCCTGTTACTTGGGAAACTGAGATCTGAGGATCATGGCTCCAACAAAAAAGTCTGTGAGACTCTTACTCCAACTGTTATCACTGAAAGGCCAAAAATGGAGCTATGGCTGAAGTGGTAGAGCCTGGAGTGAAAAATGAGAGTGCAAGGCCCTGAGTTCAAGCCTTAGTAGCTTCACAAAAACACCCAAAGTCTGGTGCCGGTGGTTCACATCTGTAATCCTAGATACTCAGGAGGTTGAGATCTGAAGATTGCTGTTCAAAATCAGCGAGGGAGGAAAGTCCATGAGACTCTAGTAAGAATGAGAGGCAAGCAAGAGCAACCAATACAAACTCAAAGCTTTATTGGGGGGCAGACCTGCCATGCTGCTCCAAGAAGGAATGGAGGCAGCAGCCATGGACAGGTGTAGGCTGAATTTAGGGTGCAGTCACATGGGTCACATTACATAGGCTATGGGAATTTGGGGATACAGTCAGTTCAGAGAAGAGGCATTATGAAGGTGTTATATGGACTACAGGAATTGGGGGAGCAACAATGCTAAATAAGAAATGTACTCATTACCTTGCTCATGTAACTGTAACCCCTCTGTACAGTATTTTCACAATAAAAAACTTAATTTAAAAAGAAAAGGAATTGGGAGAGAGTCACATTCCGAGAAGGAGTGTAGCTAGACTGTTGCAACTTGGGTGGGAATTTGTAGTCACACTGGAGAAACAGTATCCGGAAATAGTAACATATTTTTGTAAACAGGTGGACACAAGGCAGGGGCCTTAATCGGCAAGCTGACTCTAAGACCTTAGAACTTTTTTTTTTTTTTTTTTGGGTCCGGTTGTGGGGCCTGAACTCTGGGCCTGGGCGCTGTCCCTCAGCTCTTCAGCTCAAGGCTAGCGCTCTACCACTTGAGCCATAGCGCCACTTCCGACTTTTTTCTTTTTGCTTATGTGGTGCTGAGGAATCGAACCCAGGGCCTCAGGCATGCAAGGCAAGCGCTCTACCACTGAGTCACCTTCCCAGCCCCTAAATATTTTGGATTATGTTTTATTTACCTTTTGCATTTTTTTTTGTCGGTTGTGGAGCTTGAACTCTGAGCTTGGGTGCTGTCCCTGAGCTCTTCAGCTCAAGGTGAACGCTCTACCGCTTGAGCCACAGCACCACTTCCGACCTTAGAACTCTTATCTCCAATTAACTACCAGAAAACGGGAAGTGGGACTGTGGCTCAAAGTGGTAGAGTGCTAGCCTTGAGTGGAAAAACTCAGGGACAGCACCCAGGCCCAGAGTTCAAGGCCCACAACCAAACACACACACACACACACACACACACACACACACACACACACACACAGAGCACCCAAAGACTACAAGAGTAGATCTTGGGTCAACTCATATGAATTAAACTTGTAAAAGAATTGGGGAGTGATGTTCCACGAGTAATATATCTTCTGACAATTGTTATTGAAAATTTAGGAAGGAGTCCCAGGGTCCTGACTTACGTAGTAAGAACCACTGTGGTCAAAAGCAAAAATCTATCTGTCTGATCAACTTGAAATAATTTTAGTCCTCTATTAAGGATTATCCTTTCCATTCTAAGCCAGCTGTGGTAAGGAAAGCGATTTGGCAGCCTCACACCCATCCTGTCTCTAACCAGCATTCAATCCATCCTGTAGGCCTGCTAAATGAAACCAAACCCAGAAGTGGGGAGACCTTCAGGCTCTCTCTGTCAGTGCTGGTGTTGAGTTTCAAGTTGTTACAACTGTTTTTTGTCGGTTTATTTGAGTCATTGGACTTGAACTCAGGGCCTGGGAGCTCTCCCTGAGTTTTTTGGTGTTTTGTTTTTGCTCAAGACTGACATTCAACCACTTGAGCCACAGCTCCACTTCCCGCTTTTTGGTGATTAACTGGAGACCTGGCTAGCTTTGATCCTCAGATCTCAGCCTCTTGGGTTGCTGGGATTGCAGGTGTGAGCCACTGGTGCCTGGTTTTTTGTTTTTCTTTTCGTTTTTGTAAGGCTCAGTTCCATTCCTTTCAGTCCTCTTTGCCCTTTTGGAGGTGGTTCCTCATCCTGGGCAGAATGTGCACATATGTTTTACAAGTAGTAACCCCAATACTGGCTCCCACATTACGGGCAGGGTCGGGCCAAGATAACCAACCCTCCCCAGAACCTAGCAGCCACGAAGCGGAAGATCGTTCCCGAGCTATGTCTGAGACCTCGCGAGATTACGGCGGTGCCCGTTGCGGCCCAGACACAGCGCCACGCCTTTCCGGCCTCAGGACGGCCTCCGCCTACCTCAGCTCACAGCCTTCCACTCGCGCTCGGCTCTTGGATTGGCTGGCGGAGGTGGGTCAGTTTTTTTTTTTTTCCGGGCCTGAAAGCGGTTCCACAAGTAGTCTCTCTTCTAGCCCCGCCCCCGGAGCTTACGGATTGGACGACTGAGCCCGATGTCACGCGCTTGCGTGACAGCGCAGACGAGCCAATCAGCACCTTGGCGTATTTTACAAACTGGGAAATTAGCAGCAGCAGAAGCCCAGTAGATCCGGGGGAAGGAAAAAAAAAAAAAAAAAAAGAGCGGAGGCAACCCTGAGAAACTTGAAATCGTTATTTATTTTCCATCCTCCATTAGAGTTCCCGGAAAGGTGCGACCCAGGGACCCTGAAGGGTGTGAGGGCTGAGTGGCTCCCAGGGAGGAGAGCTGTTCGGGAGGCTGGGGCGAGCTGGCCCGGCACGGCCTTTCTCGGGGTGGCGGCCAGGGAGCGGCCTTGCAGGCGCCGGGGGGCATGTTAGACGCATGGATTTGTTCGGAGGCGGACGTCTGAAGAATGTCAGCACGCATACCCCGAGAATTAGTTGACTTGAATCCCCAATCCTGCCTGCCTTTCTTTGCCCATTTCTATTGTAGTCGTCATGACCACCCTCCAAGCCACAAAGCACCCCCGCCTCCGAGGTGTATCTCCCACTCCTAGCAAGATTCCCATCCGCTCTCAGAGACGCCCGCCTTTCTCCACAGTGAAGCTGGACATTCTGGACCAGGAGAACCAGGATCCAAGGGTAAGAGGGTTGTGGTAGATGAAGAGACACAGAACACATCAGCATTGCACCCCAACGCTGAATCCCAGCTTTTTTTTCCTTCTTTTTCTCTCCTTCCCCAGAGCCTGGTGCAGAAGCCACCACTCGGTATTGAACGCTCCCTCGTTGACTCAGCAAGCCCCAAGTTGAAAGCCACACACCGAACAGAAAAGTCACAGAGTTTGGTGGGGATTACTCAACCCCGGAACCCTTTGGAAGAGCTCAGGCCAAGCCCTGGGAGACAAAATGTGGGGCCTGGGCCCCCTCCCCAGACAGGTATCTGTTGGAGGACTGGAAAGGCACATAGTGTGGCGTGTGGGTTTTGCACATCCCCTGGTCTCTTGCATACTATATGAGTGCTGTGCCCTACTCCTGGAAAGCTCTTTGTTATTAGAAGCAATCCTCTTCTTCCACAAAAGTGATCTCTTCTGAAGCTTTTTCTAGTTCCACCAGTTACAGCTATTTACTTTGTATTGTCCTAATAGTTTGCACTATTTCTTTAATAATGGCTTCAGTCTGCTACTGTTACTTCTCAATATCAGTCTGTTACTTAATGATAGTACTGGTACTGAGGCTTGAACTCTTAAGTAAGTGCTCTACCACCAACCTATCTCCCTAGTTCTCCTGCTGCTCCCTCCTAGCTTTCCTACCTCTTCACTTCACACTGTCCGTCTAACCTCTGCTGAGTTTCCCCTGGTCTTTTTTTTTTTTTGCCAGTCCTGGGGCTTGAACTCAGGGCCTGAGTACTGTCCCTGAGATTCTTTTGCTCAAGGCTAGCACTCTACCATGTGAGCCACAGCACCTCTTCTGGCTTTATCTGTTTATGTGGTACTGAGGAATAGAACCCAGGGCTTCATGCATGCTAGACAAGCACTCTGCCACTAAGCCACCTTCCCAACGCCCATTGGTCTTTTAAAAGAAAAGAAAAAGAATTTAGTACCACCTTGACCTCAGGACATGAGTGTTGACCCTTAGCTATTTCTGCTCAAGGCTGGTACTCTACCACTTGTACCACACCTGCGCTTCCACCTTTTTGGTGGTTAGAGGTAAGAGTTTCATGGACTTTCCTGCCTGGACAGACTTTAATCCATGATTCTCAGATCTCAGCCTTCTGAGTAGCAAGCACTTGGCTTAATGATAACTTCTTCTTTTTTTTTTTTTTTTGTCATTGGGCTTGAACTTTAGGCCTGGGCACTGTCCCTGAGCTCTTCAGCTCAAGGCTAGTGCTCTACCACTTGAGCCACAGCACCACTTCCAGCTTTTTCTGCTTATGTGGTGCTGAGGAATCGAACCAGGGCCTCATGTATGCAAGGCAAGCACTCTACCACTGAGCCACCTTCCCAGCCCTCATTCGTCTTTAATTAAAGTGTTCAGAATGGTCTCTTACATTAGAGTCTTCCAAAATTTTGGTGAGCTATGTTCAATTGAATGAGTCTATTTTGCTCACCTCCCCTACCCCCAATATTGGAGTTTGAACTTGCTAGGCATGGAGTCTGCCACTTGAACCATGCCTCTAGTCCTCTCTGTTCATTCTTGCACCACAGGGTGACTATTCTAGGGTCCCTGGCCCCTCAGCCTCTCCAATTCCTTCTCACCTTCCTGTCTCCTCTTCCCTTGCAGGGGCTCCAGAGGCCATAGAGTTTGTGGCTGACCCTGCAGCCTTGGCCACCATCCTGTCAGGTGAGGGGGTGAAGAACAATCCCCTGGGGCGCCAGTCTAGTCTGGCTCAAAGAGTACTGGTTCGAGGGAGCAAGGAAGGCACCACCCGGAGAGGTCAGGTAATAAGACAGGATGTAAGATAGGCTGGGTGGGTTAAGTCATAACATCTTGCTGATAGCTTCTGTTGGGTTCCAGAATGCTCGGGCTTCTGCATACCTAGCCCCCAGGACCCCCATCCACCAACTGGACTCTGCTAGGGCTTCTTGTTTCTCAAGGTTGGAGGGACCGGGACCTCGAGGCCGGACTTTGTACCCTCAGAGGCTAGAAGCTTTGGTGAGTGCCCTTGAAGGTCTGACCTTCTGTGTTTCTGGAAGCTTCTTCTTGGGACAAAGGTAAATCCTGAGAGAGAAGGTACCTCATGATGAATTAAGTAATTTAGAGGAAGGTATGTTTGGTGATGATTTCTGAAAGTATGGGGCTTCCCTCTGACTCTGCTTTCGCCTCTTATCCTGTGTATCAGAATCCACCTTCAGGATCTTCCCTTCAGGCTACTCGTCCTAGCTTACAGGAGCTAAGAAGAGAGACAGGAGGCAGCAGCCGGTAAGGAGAAATGTGGCAGAAGGGTATGGAAAAAAAGTGAACCAGTGTCTGAGAAAGGGGCCCTCTAGAGCTAGCATCTTCTAGTAGTTTTAGAAATCCCATTCTGCCCAGGAAGGAATGGAAGAAACCTACGACCACCCAGGAATAGGGGCCAAGCCTTCATAGTCTGGAAGAAAAGGGGGGGTTCAGAAATGTGAGGTGCTAGGCCAGGCTCTGATGGCTCATGCCTATAACCCTAGCTTCTCAAGAGGCTAAGATCTGAGGATCAGGGTTCAAAGCCAGCCTGGGCAGGAAAGTCCTTGAGACTCTTTTCTCCAATTAATCACCCAGAAACTGGAAGTGGCACTGTGGCTCACCCAGGCCAAGGGCTCAAGTTGTATAACCAACCCCCTCCCCAAAAAAAAAAAAAAAGTGAGGTGCTATTTCTTTGGCTAGAGTGTAGATTGAAATGAGATTTGAATTCAATTTCTGACTCTTACCATTAGTAGTTAGGCAAGTTCACCTTAATCTCTCTGAGCTTTGGTATCTTTATCTGTTAAATGAAGAAAATGTTTGTACCATTATTGGAGAGTGTTGCAAATGAGGTGATGTTTGTAAAGCACTTAGCATGTGGCCAGCCCATAATGGTGCTCAGTGACTGCTGTTGCCCTTTATTATCATCAGGACTTCAGTGAAACAGGTCTCAAGATTGCTCTTGGAGACCCCTGTGCAACCTGGTGAGTGTTTGGCTATGAAGAGAGAACAAGGGGTTGCCTGCCACAGGGAACGAGACAAGAGGAAACCTGGCACCCGTGGCCCATACCAGTAATCCTAGCTACTCAGGAGGCTGAGATCTGAGGATCGAGGATCGAAGCCAGACCAGGCAGGAAAGTCCATGAGACTCTTTATCTCCAATTAACCACCAAAAGGCCAGAAGTGAAGCTGTGGTTCAAGTGGTAGAGTTCCAGTCTTGCACAGAGAAAGCTAAGAGACCGTGCCCAGACCTTGAATTCAAGCCCTACCATTGGCACAAAAGAAAAAGACAAGGGGAAACTTAGTAGGCTTGGGGAATGGGAGCAGTGTGAAGAGGTGGGGAGATGGGGGATGGTGCAGGAGAGCTGGGATTTGGATTGGTGGTACTTGTTTAGCATTGATTTGATCCTTAGCACTATAAGGAAGAAGGAAGGAAGGAAGGAAAAAGAGAGAGATGGAGGGAGGGAGGAAAGTAAATGAGAAAAAGAATATCTTCTGGTTGGCCCAATTTTACTTGTGTCTCTATTTCTTCTCCTTGCAAGATTGACCTTCTACCCACGGTTCTGTCCTTAGCTCCTAAGAGCTATCACTACACCCCCCCAGCCCACTCAGGGTATTCTGATACCAAATGTTTGCTGAGGTAGTATTGGGCTCTCAGGGGACGCTGGTTGGGTCCTTGTCCTTAGTTCCCTATTCTCTTCAGAGGCTTCAAAGCCCTATGGCAGAATTAGGTGGATGTTCTTGATACTACTGCAAATTTCCATTCTCCATTCAGTTTCCTCTCTCTCTGAAGAACCTGAGGTTATCCCTCACTCTGATGAAGGAGGAGGAGCCCTCCTGGGTTTGGCCCAGCGAGTACCCTTAAGAGAAACACAGGAGATAACACAAACCAGGGTAAGATGGGACCCTTCTGGAATACAGGTGGGGAGTAGGGGAAGTGTTTGGGGAAATCCCACAGGGATAGCACTTAGGATGTGGGTGGAATCAGGTAGTCAGAACATTATTGGGTCTAAGTTTTTCCTAGTTAGGCCTTCTCCAGAATAGGTCTGAGCTCTGTTTCCCAGTCTAAGACCTGATATGTATTTGTATCACTGTCAGGTCAATGATAGGACACTTCTAATACTTGTCATCCAAGAACATCATTCCTTCGGTCCACAAATATTTACTCACCAGCTACTGAATGTAGGAACTATTCTAGGCTCTGGGTATACATATTCTAGAAGGGGGAGATAAAAAATAAACACAAGCCAGGTGCTGGTGGCTCATACCTAGCTACTCAGGAAGTTGAGATCTGAGAATCACAGTTTGAAGCCAGTTGGGGCAAGAAAGTCTGTGAAACTCTTATCTCAATTAACCATCAAACAAAGCTGGAAGCAAGAGCTGTGGCTCAATGCTAGTATGCTAGCCCAGGGCAATAAAACTCAGGGACAGCATCCAGACCCTGAGTTCAAGTCCCAGGACAGCACTAAATTAACAAAACAATCACATGTATAAAATATGTAACATATGGTAAAATATTCTCTGTGAAAATAAGTAAATAGCAGGGCATCAGTGGCCCATGCCTGTAAAGTTGGCTACTAAGGAAGCTGAGATCCAGAGGATCGAGGTTCAAAGCCAGCCTGGGCAGAAAAGCCACCAAGACTTCATCTGTAAAATAATTAGCAAAAGGGCTAGAGGGTGTCTCAAGTGATAGAGTGCCAGCAGAGCAAGCAACCCAACCAAGTAGCATTGGCAATATATAAGCAAGGTAGTAAAGGGGAATCGAGAGTGAAGGAGTTGGTGTCAGAATGTAAAGTAATTTGAGCCAGGTAATATCATTGAGAAGATTATGTTTAAGTGAAGAACAGGAGTTAAGGGCATGAGCTGTGCAGATATCTAGTAGAGAACACTCTTGGCCCAGAGAATTGCAGTGCAAAGGCCCCAAGGACGAGGTGTGTCTTAAGTGTACTGTATGTGTGTTGACAAAAGGGACCAATATGGTTGAACCTAAGTAAGGTGAAGGGTAAGAGGTGAGGTTTCAGTAATAACAGGATTAGATAAGGACTCAAATACAAGTACAAGCTCTTGGCTCTTACTTGGGATGTATGGAAAGCCAAGGAGAGAGATGAATGATTTAACTTGTCTAGAAAGAATTACACTAAGGCAGGCATCTGTGGCTCCTACCTGTAATCCTAGCTACTCAGGAGGCTGAGAGCTAAGGATCATGGTTCAAAGCCAGCCCAGTCAGGAAACTCCATAAAACTCTTATCTCCAGGGGCTGAGAAGGTGGCTCAGTGGTAAAGCGCTTGCCTTGCATGCTTGAGGCCCTGGGTTCGATTCCTCAGCACCCATAAGCAAAAAAAAGCCGGAAGTGGTGCTGTGGCTCAAGTGGTAGAGCGCTAGCCTTGAGCTGAAGAGCTGAGGAGCAGCACCCAGGCTCAGAGTTCAGGCCCATGACCAGACCCAAAATAAAAAAATTTAAAAAACCCATAAAACTCTATCTACAATTAATTATCAAAAGCTGGAAACAGTGCAGTGACTCAAAGTGGTAGTACACTCATCTTGAACATGAAAGCTCAGGGATAGTGCTCACACCCTGAGTTTAAGCCCCAGGACTGGTGCAAAAAAAAGAAAAAAAAGACACTGGCTTCTTAGGAAAGCAAGACATAGGAAGCCAAAGAGGGAAGAGATCACTCCTACTTTTCTCCTCTCCCACAGGTCAGTGGTGACTCTCACGTGATGCCTTCCCCTACCCCCTTGGCCCAGCCTATGCCTGGCCGTGTGGTACCACCTTCTGTTACCCACCCATCACCCTTTGGACGGGCACAGCGCGTACCATCTCCTGGCCTCCCAACTCTGGTTTGTATCAAAAACTCCTCGGGGCTGGCAAGAGCAGAACCATCTGGCTCAAGAACCTGCTGCTGTCTGGGAAGTTGGCTTAGCGGTAGAGTGCTTGCCTAGCTTGTATGAAGCCCTAGGTTTGATTCCTCAGTTCCATATAAACTAAAAAGCTGGAAGTGGTATTGTGGGTCAAGTGGTAGAGTACTAGCCTTGAGTAAAAAAGCTCGGGGACAGTGCCCAGGCCCTGAGTTCAAAACCCAGGGCCGGCAAAAAGAAAAAAAGTTCCTGCTGCTATATCTACATTTTATTCCTGCTCAGATACCTATATCTCTCCCCAGACTCCATATTCATTGTTGCGACGGCTTGCTGTTCGACCCAAAGTCCAATTCACTCCCATCCGATCAGTCCCCAGAGTTCAGCAGGTAAGATGGGGCAGTAGGGAGGGAGGGACAGGGGTAGTTACATCCATGGGCCACAGCTGAGGAGAAAGGGAGATGGATGGTTATGAGGGAAGTTAAGACATAGGCAACTGCTGGTCTTCTGTAAAAGCAGATTGATTAGAGCCCAGCCACAGGCAGAGGCTCTGTGTGAGGTGGGTCTATAGCCTGGGTGGAAGAAGGGTCCTTCAGGCCTCAGGTGGTGAGAGACGACAAGACTGAGAGTGGGAATTGGTATTATTTACCCATATCCACCTGACTAGATCTTTGACAATATAATTTTAAAATGTTGGGATAATAAATACCTTTGCTTTGTCTTCTTTTTTAAAAAATTAAAAAAAAAAAAAAAACAGAGACAAAGCTGGGCATTGGTGGCTCACACCTATAATCCTAGCTACTCAGGAGGCTCAGATCCAAGGACCATGGTTCAAAACCAGCCCAGGGAGGAAAGTCTGTGAGACTCTTATCTCCAATTTAACCACCGGAAAACTGGAAATAGCACTGTGACTCAAAATGGTAGAGTGCTAGCCTTGAGCAGAAGAGCTCATGGTCAGCACCCAGGCCCTGAGTTCAAGCCCTACCACTGACAAAAAATTAAAAGGCAGGTATGGCTCAGATGCTTGCTGGGGGAGGAGTAAGAACCTATCCTAAAAGTAACAAGTAAAAAAAAAACAGAGCTGGGAATATCTATCTGTTGTATTATGCCATCCTAGCAAGCATAGGGCAAGAGGGAAAGACAAAGGCAAGAGAGACTGGGTTCCAGTCAAAGGTGCTTGCCCCTGCTGACTTTTCACTTCTGTTTACAGGCCCGATGGTCCAGTGGCCTCTCTCCTCAGTCTTGTCCTGGAGAGCCTGCCACACCCTGGGTAAGTATCAGAAGCCATGTATTACTCTGTCTTTGGCATGGTTCCACTGGCTTGGAGGCCTGGTAGTTTGAGTTTGAGGCAAGTGTGCTGTCTTAAGAAACTGTGTCTCACCAACCTCTTCCTGCTTCTCTGCTGCTTCTCAGGCCCTTTTTCTTCTTCTGAGACAGTAGCCAAGACTAGTCTCAAATTTTCAACCCTACTGTCTCAGGATTGAAGCAGTAGGAGTGCTGAATTATAGGTCCAAACTAGTTTTTTTGGGGTTTTTTTTGGGGGGGGGGGTTCTGGTTGTGGGGCCTGAACTCTGGGCCTGGGCACTGTCCCTCAGCTCTTCAGCTCAAGGCTAGCGCTCTACCACTTGAGTCACAGTGCCACTTCCAGCTTTTTTCTTTTTTGCTTATGTGGTACTGAGGAATCGAACCCAGGGCCTCATGCATGCAAGGCAAGCGCTCTACCACTGAGCCACCTTCCCAGCCCCCCAAACTAGTTTTTAAGGCATATGCTCTTCTAGAGTCTCTCAGGGATTTGATCATTCCTATGGTGGTGAAATTCAGACTGATCTTCCTGCCTCTGCCTGGCTTCCTCACCTGCCCCCTCTTTCCTCCTGTGTGGCAGGAGCAGATTGCTGTACAGTTGTTTGACCAGGATGGTTGTGTCAGGATGCAGGAGAGGTCTGGGTGCCCAACTATGTCAAATCCTTCTGGACCACACCCAAGTCTAAACCCCAACCTCCAAGAACTAAGGATGCAGGTGGGTCTGTAGGGTGGCAGCTTTGAAGCCTACTGGAGTATGAGAGGGCTACAGTTGCGGGAGCTGGGAGGACACAGGGAGTATGGGAAGAGAGCCATGTGGGTAGACCACGTGAACTCACAGTGATGTCACACTGGGTACTCTCTTCTACCACAGCGCATCAGTATCCTGCAGCAGCTGTTGCAACAGGAGATGGAGGGGCTGGCAATGGGCAAGTGTGTTCCTGTTAATGGAGGCTCCTCTTTGGATATGGTTGAACTTCAGCCTCTACTGACTGAGATTTCGAAAACTCTGAATGCCCCGGAGCATAATTCTGGGACATCCTACCTTCCTGGACTGTCAAAGCATTCTGGGCTGCCAGAGCCCTGCCTCCCAGAGGAGCGTGAGGAACCACAGCCCTTTTTTGGAGTAGAGGCTGAAATGGCACAGCTTTGCCCTCCACCAGAGCCAGGGCCCCCAGAATCTTGCTGTAGGATTGGGCCAGAGACACCAGAGTTCTCCCAGGAACAGCCTGAGATCCCAGAGCCTTGTACTTCAGCACTACCTGGACTCCATCAGTCTAGTCCCCATGAGCAACATGCTGGACTCCCAGAGGCCTGCCCTAGGGTAGAGCAGGGAGCATCAGTAGCCTACTATTCCCTGGAACCTAAAAGCCCAGATTCCAGCCTGTGGCTCCGCTGCAATCAGGGGACACCGGCAACCACCAACCTGACTTTCTCTTCCCAACGCCCACTTTGTGCCAGCCCCCCTATCCACTCACTTCAGTCTCAGAAGCCCCCGACAGGTCAGGCAGGTAAGGAGGTATCTGGGAACGGGTAGGAAGGAAGGGGATCCTGTCACTGGGAGCAGTCCCCTGGACTATGCCAGGTGATGCTATCCCACCAACCACAGCTTGGCTCTCAGAAAGAAGGAAGGAGCTAGTTGGGCAACGGTGGTTCACACCTGGAATCCTAGCTACTCCGGAGGCTGAGATCTGAGGATTGCAGTTTGAAGCCAGCCTTGGCAGGACAGTTATCCTCAATTAACCAACAAAAAGCCAGAGGTGGAACTGTGGCTCAAGTGGCAGAGCACTGGCCTTGTTCAAGAAAGCTCAGAGACATTGCTCAGGCTGAGTTTAAGCCTCAGGACCAACACACACACACACACACACACACACACACACACACACACACACACACACACACACACACACACACACACACACACACACACACACACACACACACACACACACACACACACACACACACACACACACACACACACACACACACACACACACACACACACACACACACACACACACACACACACACACACCTCTATTACTCTTTCTTGGGGGAGGGAGAAGGGCAGTGCAGACTCCAGAGCCTTCTAATCTCTCCATGGCCCACCTTCAGGTCCCAGCAGTCTGGCTCCTCGAACACTGGCCCTGAGGCAACGCCTCAAAGCCTGTCTCACTGCCATCCACCACTCGCATGAGGCCCGCCTGGATGATGAGTGTGCCTTCTACACCAGCCGGACCCCTCCCCCCGGCACCACTCGGGTCTGCACCAACCCTGTGGCCGAGTTGCTTGAATGGCAAGAAGCCCTGGTGAGCTTCAATGTCCAACCAGACGCTGTTTGCACAGCCAACCTGTGAAAAGTCGAGGGGGTGGGGGGGAGATAGTGGGAGGGACTAACCTCAGCTCCTTCAGTGAGTGATAGTAAGATTGTGACAGACTTCTCTCTCTCTCTAGCGTTTTATTCCAGTTGGTTCTACGGCCTCTCAGGACTCTACATCATGAAGCTCCAGCCATCACCTGCTCCTGCCCTTCTGAGCTCACCTTCTAGCCCATATTTATTGTTGGACAACCAATAGAACTCAGTGCTAACACCCTTTTTAACCTTTAATAAAGTTTCCAAAGTATCACCGGTTCAGCTAGTGAGTTAGGACTGTCCAGATAGGGCAGCCATTGCTGTTGCTCCCTGTTTGCCCACATGGTGGCAGTGTGCTATAAGTTAGAAGCCTCTGGGTGCTAGGTCTCAACCAGAGTGGCTATTCTGAAGAAAGGAATTCTTCCCACTGTGTCCAGCCCACCTTCTCAGCAAGCTCTTGAATGTTTTGGGTGAGTGACAGTTGTGGGACCTGTGCTTCTCTCTCAGCCTTGAAATAAGCCCCTTTTCCAAGAGCCATCAATTAATCCACTCATCTCCCAGAGCTCCTCTGCTAGAACAGTCAGGAGAGATGTGCACCAGTTGGCTGGGGCAGAAAGATTACATGAGGTCAGTAGTTAGAGGCCAACCTTAGTAGCATAGAACACTTAAAAGAAGAAGCCTGAAATGGTGGCTATAATACTAGCTAGTCAGTAAGCTGAGATCTGAGGATCACTATTTGAAGACAGCCCAGGTAGGAAAGTCTGTGAGACTCATCTCCAATTAACTACCAAAGGTTAGAAGTGGAACTGTGGTTCAGGTGGTAGAGCACTAGCCTTAAGCAAAAGAAACTCAAGGACAGGCCCCAAACCCTGAGTTTAAGCCCCAGGACTGGTGCGCGCACGCACACACACAGTCTTAATTTCTCTCTCTTTCTCTCTAGTATGTAGGAGGGCAGGAACACCAGATTGAAAACCTTTGGAATCCTGTGTGGCTGGCCTTATATTTTCCCCTTCCTTCCCATAGCAAAGCAGGAGCCTGGGCTACCCTGCTTCCCTTCTCCCTCAGAGACAGTCTTGCAAGGAATAATCTTACCACTAGTGGAAACTGACCAACTGGGAGGGAGTTCTTTCAGGGTGTTAGAGAGGGTCAGCCACTTTTCCTCCAATCTATGCACCCACCATGCATCGAGTTAAGCAGCCACACACACAATCCCCCAACCTCAATTTATTGGAAGAGGCAACAGTAGTTGTGTAGCCCCAGGACTTAGCCTGGAGAGGGGAGAGGGGAGACTGTACAGAATGCGTTTTAAACGCTAGGAAAGAATTCACTGATTCTTCCAGTTCATAGGAAAGTTGCCAGGCTGGAGCCTTAAAATGAAGATGAAGGGAGATGCAGAGACAAAGTTGTCTTGGTCTGACCAGGGATACCCTATCCTAACATCTCTCACCTAAACAGGCTCCTTTCGATTTCTAGTCTTTTGACTCAAGCTGCCAGAGCATCCTTCCTGCTTTTTGGGCCTCTGAGCTGAGCTTGCCTAGTGAGATTGCTCCCCAGCTCTACTTAGAAGAGAGGACCAAGACCTCAGGACCCTCTCTGGATCGGCTTTCACTAGCTCACGTGGCTGCAGATGGTCCCTTCCTAAGCGGAACTGCTCCTCCGACACGACACATAACCTTGATCGCCCCTAATCCGGCCATTTTAGCCACCTCCCAGAGCTGGAGGCTCCGCCCCATCGCCAAGTTCTTACTAACGATGGGGTGGGGCCTGCTGGTGGTAGGTGAAGATGGGAGTGAGGGGGTAAGGAGGGCGTGGGGGGGAGGTTCCTGGCTCAGTCCGGGTAAATGATGAAGCCCGAGAAGGTGCTGTACTTGTTGGTGTTGCCTCCGTGCACCTTCCCACCGTCCAGCTTGATGAAGACTTCATCGCCCACATCCAGATGTAGAATGACGCTGTTACTGGCGTAGTCATAGTTCTGGTCCGCGTCTTGAGCAATGGCGCTGGCCCGAACCTGGGGGAAGGCGGGGAGAGGGGGGAGAAACCGATGTACTCAAAAGATCACTGCTTAGGGCTGGGGTGCAGGCGTCGGGTCTAGGGGCTCCAGCGCGGCCCAGGGGCAGCAAGCTGTAGGTGCTGAGGAGGAAGTCGGGGAAGGAAGGGGAGCTCAGAGCCTCGCTGACCTGACCGCCATTCACTCTGCTGAACGCTGAATGCCTTGGGCACAAGTCAGGCTGTCTGTGGGCCTCGAGTCTCAATTTGAATTATAAAGTATATGTTTGAGAGAATGGAAGGGGAATAATAGAGCCCACCCTGTTCGGCTGTTAGGATTGAATGGTATGTGGAATGTATTCAGAACAGTGGTTTGCCTAGAGAAACCCTTATACAGCGGTTGCTATTACTGTTCTCACTTTAAAAAATAATATTAGCCTTTAGGATGCTTTCTAGGATGTTGTGCCCACTTAGACCAACATGTAAATTCCAAATGTGCATTTGCATTCCTGGGAGCTGGGGCATTGCATCTGTGTGTCTGTGGGTGTGCAGGCCTGAGAAGTACTGTTGTGTCCTGGCCTCTAGGGTGTCCATTTCTCTGTCAAGTGGTAGCTAGTGCCTTCTGTGGGAACCCAGAGCTCTGCCTTTCTTTTGGCCTCTCCTCTGGCATTCGCCTCAGGCTGCCAGCCCCCTCCCCAGCCCCCCTCTTTTTGTCCCACCGGGCTGGTTATTAACTCATTAATTATTCATCATTATTTTAATCATTATTTACCGTCCCCAGGGCCGCAGTGCCTGCGCTGTGGAATACAGAGTAGAAGCTATCTGCCACCCCCCCACACCCTGCTGAAATCAACACACTCTATGCACTTGTGTTCCCCTTCCCCCACACCCTGTGTGTACCAAGTATACCTACTCTACCTACCTACTAGATGCCACATACAGAAAAATACCATGGCTCTACTCACGTCCTCCTGCTCTGTACACACACACTTCTGTACACACTATCTCAATCTCACACATATCTTCTCTTACTCTCTGCTGGGAAGAGACCCCAAAACATGTGCCAGAGATGGTTGTGCAGTCGTGTCCTCCTGAGTGTATACAGGTGCTGCAAAGGTAGCAAGGCCCAAGGCTCAGAGAACCCTAAGACTAGGTCTGACATTTGGGGGGAGGCACCACTTCCTTTCTAGAAGCCACGTGTGGTCACTGCCCAGCCCCGGCTTGCTTCAGCCTGCACTTCCCAGACAGCTCCCTCCACCCCAGCCTAAGGCCTCTCCGCAGCTATCATCAGCTCCTGACTGGATCAGATAAGGTGTTTTTTTTTTGGGGGGGGGAGTCTTGAACTCAAGGCCTAGGCACTGTCCTGAGCTGCTTTTTTGTTGTTGTTGTTGTTTTTTTTTTGTCAGTCATGGGGCTTGAACTCTAGACCTGGTTGCTGTCCCTTAGCTCTTCAGCTCAAGGCTAACGCTCTGCCACTTGAGCCACAGCACCACTTCTAGTTTTCTGGAGGTTTATTGGAGATAAGTGTCTCGAGGATTTTCTGCTCAGGCTGGCTTTGAACCATGATCCTCAGATCTCAGCCTCCTGTGTAGCTAGAATTACAGGCTTGAGCCACTGGTGCCCAGCCTAAGCTTCATTTTTGCTCAAGGCTTTAAGCACTTCTATCCCACTTGAGCCACAGCACCACTTCTGGCTTTTTCTGTTTATTTGGTACTAAATTCATACATGCTAGTCAAGAATTCTACCACTAAGTCACACTCCCAGCCCCAGATTAGATTTTTTTAGAGCTTCTCCCCCAAGCCAAGGGGACAATAACTCTGATTCTGTCTTCAAGGGCAGCAAGCAGCAGAACATGGAGGCTGAGATTGTTAGGGAGGATATGGGGCCTGTGACCAGGCATCAGTTGTCCCCATTGCTGCCTCCTTCCTCCAAACCCACCACCTAACTGTTCCCATTCTAACCACTTCCCACCTCTGCTTGAGCTCATTATTTGAGAATCGGTATTATTGGAGGGCAAGGTCCAGCCTAAGCCTGGCCCTATGCTCTGGAGTAAGAAATAAGATAGCACTGGCAAGTGGGCAAGTAAGGGTTTTCTTTCTTTTTTTTTCACCTTGAAAATCTAAGCTGAATGCCCCTACACTCAACAGTAGCCCTTACCGCCTGGCCTGCTGACTAAAACACAAATTCCATTCTAATCTCATAGAACCAGATTCTGGATAACTCTCCCCATGCCAGACTGGGAAATCAAGGCCAGGAGGCACCCCTGCCCCTCTCAAAAAAAGAGCACAGCTCAAGATAAGAGTTGGGGGTGGGGAAGGGAGCTACAATTGGTAGGGTGAGACACCAAAGATATTTGGTGTGGTTTTCTATCATTGGAGTGATTGCCTATAGTTGGAGTGTGAATCTCTGCTGCAGAGATAGGAAGTTTTGAGTCCCTTGTTATAATACTGATTCCTAATATTCCCAGTGAGCCCCCTGGGCGTAGGACTTTCTCTAGTTCCCCAGTTCCTCCTTGACTAAACAAACGAGGTATGAGCTCTTAATGGCCTGGAGTTGCTGGATTTCCTGGTGCTGCTTCCAGGAAGGAACTGAGTTGTGGCCTGAGGGCAGGGAGATTTGTGAAACTACCAGTGGGGTGAATTCGGAGTCTAGCGGCGGAGGGGCACCTCACCTGTCCATTCTTCATCAAGTCGGCCCACATACTGGTGCCATCGCCGCCCCGCATGAGCACATGGTAAGCGAAGAAGTAGACGCCCGGCATGGGACAGGTGAACTTGCCGCTGGCCGCCTCGTAAGCGTTGCCCACATTGGTCACCACGTCGTCAAAGCGCAGCACCTCATAACCCTCGTGCGGCTTCCGCAGGCCGGCGTAGAAGGCAATTCGAGGCACGTAGCCGGCAGGGGGAGCAGCCCCTCCTGGGCCTGGACCAGGAGGACCCGGGGGGCCTGGCCTGCCTGGCTCTCCGGGGGGCCCTCTGGGACCTGGAGGTCCTGGAGGTCCTCTCAGACCTGCCTTCCCGCGCCGGCCCACCTCCCCCTTGGCACCTGGTGGAAAGGGGGGCGCGGAAGCAGGTGCACCGTCGGGGCCCGGGCCTCGGGGCCCGTGCGGGTCACAAACCATGCGGCAGCGACCCAGCATCTCGTAGTGCGCAGGGCCGCGGGAACTGTGCACCAGCAGCGGGATGGCCACCAGCAACAGAAGCACCATGGCCACCCCGACGGCCGCGCCCGCCACCCGCTTGCGGCGGCTCAGCCGCGACGCGGCCAGGGCCAGCAAATCCTCCTCGCTTTTGGGCGCAATGGCGACGGGAGGCCCGGGACTCCCCGCGGGCCCAGGAGAAAGGGTGGCCGGGTTGGGGCCCGGGTCTGGATTCCCTCTTCCACCCACCCCCGACGGGCCTCCCTGCCTCTACTGGCTCCCTCCCTCCGCCGATGTGCGGGGTTTCCCCAGCCGACCGTCAAGGCAGGGGTCCCTGCGTCCCCAACCCCCCTAACCTTGTGAGTTGGGCCAGGTACAGGTCCCACAGTTCAAAACCCCCGTAGTCTTCTATTACCCTCCGGTGCAGTCCGAACGATCCGATCCGATAGGGGCGGCGAGGTCCGCCGCTTCTTGGACGGCTGATTTCTTACAAGTCTAGGATGTTTGCTCTCCAGACAGCTGCTTCCTCACGATCCTGGGGGGTGGGTCCCAGATCACAGATTGCTCGGGGCTGGAACGAGGGGGCGAGGGGAGGGGGGACTGTTGCTGTGCTCCGGACGTCCCAGGCTCTGAGCTGCGGGTGGCGTCCACTGGACGCGACCTCCTCAGAGGTTTTGCTCTCTCTAGCTCTTGGAAAGCGCTTCCCGCCTTCCTGTCTCAGCCTGGGTTGCGGCCCTTGCTGGAGCCCTGTCCGGGCGACTCTCTCCCCCGCAAGCTCTCTCTGGATCTCTGCGTCCCCTAACCTTCCTCCCCGGGGCGGCAGTGCGGGTGGTGTGGGTAGCCGCGCGGCGGGAGCCACTATAAGCGGCCGGAGGCAGAGCGACCCCTGGCGCCCACAGTGGGAAGCGCGGGGGCGGGGCAGGCAGCGGCTCTCCACCCCCCCCCCCCAGCCCCCCGCCACTCCCAGCGGAGCCCCGGGCCTCTAAGGTTCCTTGCCTGTTCTCAGGGCTCAGCAGCGATCCCTAGCCTGCACCCTAAAATCTTTACTTTCCGCTTCAATCCTGAGTTTAGCATTCTTAGAAGCTGGAAAAAGCGCTGGGATAAACATGGGTCATGCCACAAGCACTGAGAAGACAGAGGTGGATTGCAGAGCTAAAAAACAAAAAAAAGGAGGGGGAAATGAGGGACTCACAAACAAACTAAATAAAACAAGAAAGGAAAGAAAAAGAAATGCATCACCCCATACCCTCTCGCTGCCAGCAACTGAATACCAAATACCCATATGGGAAGGGGTTCAAGGGATACTTGTTGACCTGAATAGGAAAGGCATTTCCTGACTCCCCATACTCAAGGGGGGGGGATCACAGAGAAAGAGAGGGAGAGAGGGTGGGAGGGAGAGAGGGTGGGAGGGAGAGAGAGAGAGAGAGAGAGAGAGAGAGAGAGAGAGAGAGAGAGAGAGAGAGAGAGAGAAAGCGCCCGGGGGAAGGAGCTGAAAACGGACAGAAAAGCAGAGAAGGAGCGACAGAAAAATCAAAGAGACAGAAAGCCAGATAGAGATGCAGAGACAGAGATAAAGCTTCGAAAAGAGACTAACTGACAGCCCCAGAGGGGGAGAGAGAGAGACAGAGACACAGAGAGAGACAGAAGCCGAGACAGGTTGACAGATCGAGGGAGAGAGAGAAATGTAAATGGCGCGCTGCAGAGAGACACCCAGGTCCGTGTTCGGACTCCAATGTGACATATCAACTGTAGGGAAGATGCGGGGGCGGGGCAGTTCCGCAAGCAGAGTAGGCTCTGGGCCTGTGCATTGTGACAGTGTGCTGGAAAGTATGGAGGTAGCCATGGGATCCTGGTCTTGTGTGTCCCTGGGTGAGTGGGGTTATGGATTTTGTGTTGTTTTGTATATATATGTGTGAGGGTTGTTTGAAAGAATACATATAAAGGTGTGTGTGTGCATGTATGTGTGTGTGTGTGTGTGTGTGTGTGTGTGTATATATATATATATATATATATATATATGCCTTCCTTTCTCTTGGCCTCTAAATTTGGAACCCCAGAAATGTCCATTCTCCTATCTCAGGACTGAAGAATGGGTAACCTTGTGGGAAGAAAGAGTCAGTTGTAATACTGCCCACCAGGCCCAGCCCAAATCCATCCTGCACTAGACCTAGACTGCTCAAGTCCCTGACCTAAAATCTTGGCTCTTTCTCCCTTCCCCAAATATCTGCTATCAGATGAAACCCAAAGAAATTAAACCCCACATAATGGGCTTTTGGCTGTTTATGCATAGTAACATAACTGAAATGCAGATTAGGTATTAGGCTCCTGCCTGTAAGAAGTGATTGAATCTGATTTCTGAGGAACTCCTCCTTAGAAAGATCAGAATCCTCAGGGTCTGCTGAAAAAGCCTTTTGCTACATCTCCTCTGGGGACCCAAACCCAGAAGCTAGGAAAAGGAAGTCTAGGACCCTTAAAAGTGGAGATGTTTGGAGATCTTGGAGATAGATGGATAGCTGCAAAGGCTTTTTGGTGACCAGATAAGCCAGGAGTGTGATATATGGAATATTTCATGTAAAATGGAAGGTACAAGGGCATGATTGTTGGGTAGAAGGTGATTTCCTCATTCCCAGTTTCCCATACTCCTTCCAGGCACTTCCTATCACATGTCACAATGAATGGTGGACGGAAGAGATTGCTGAGTCTGGGTCTATGTCCAGTATCAGTGTGGGTAGAGAGATCCCTGTGCCTGAAAGGATTGGGAGGGAATGGATTGGCAGTCAGTGGGGGAGGGGCCTCCTCCTCCTCCAACCATAAATACAAATTTTATTCAAGGTCTTTGTCACCATTTGTCTTCCTCGGGGGGCTGAGGGCCGTGTCAGCCCCGTGCATGTCTAATTCCAGATCTGCTCCCCCAGGCTGGATGATGGATGGGTCAGAGAGAGCAGGCCCAGGCTCACATCAGCCTCCCCTGCCATAGTCTCAGTCAGGCTCCATCCACCCCAAGTCCAGATACCCTCTGCCCTCCCTCCCTCACCAGATTCCCTCTGTGCCCAGCCCTGTTTCCCATTCCCACTCATCCTGCTTCCCAGTGTCCCCTTTTGGAGCCCCTCACCTCAGCCCCTTTCGGGTGAAGGGCCTCTTCTCTCTAGAGCTTCCCCTCTGCTCCTATCCCCAGCCCAGGCGGTGAGCTGCGGTGACCAGCAGGGCTGCAAATGGCAGTGTGTGTGTGTGTGTGTGTGTGTGTGTGTGTGTGGTGGTTGGTGGGGAGTGGGGGGGGGGGAGCAGGCTTGGCTCACAGGGAGCCGAGGGGCCAGCTCCATGAATTTATTCATGTTCTGTTGCTCTTTCCCCATGCTCTGGGCTCTGGAATGAAGCTGCCAGCTCACCAGGTTCTTATTGCTTCCCCTGCAGCTGTCACATTGGGTCTGAGAAAGGATCTGGGTAGGGCCAACACCAGCCAGTGCTCCTAGGGTCCCCAAAGCCAAAAGGAAACACCTCAGTACAGTTGGGGGTCTGGACCCCTGGCTAAACTAGCACAGGTGTGTGGGATGGGAAGCAAGCAAGGCAAGGTGTGCTGCAGGACAAAGAAAGGGCTGTGGAGGTGGGAGTAGGGTTGGTGGGAAGAAGAGAGGAGAGGAAATAATGTTATTGAAAGCTTGATGTATTTTCGAGTTTTTAATATGGAGGACTTTCCTCTGATCCCCCAATGGAAAACACAACCTAGTCTGAATCTTGTACTGACCTCTATCTGTACTAACCTTTACTAATCCTGACCCTAGTCCCAAATTCACTCCCCTCCAATCCTAAACTGAATCTTAACTCCATAACCTGACCCTAAAGTATATCCCCACCTGTCCTGGAACCCAGGGCTTTCCCCTAGAATATCCCTTAGGGTTATAGCCTAGTGTGTGTCAGAGTTCTCCAAGGACCAGACTTTTGATTAGCATGTTATTAGCATATGATTTGCATGTTTTATATGCTTTCTATTCTGCAGAAGTTTTTGTATTAAATTTTTATGAAGTCTCCTGGAAAGGTCCTGGCTCCTTGAACATTCTTTTTATTCCTTCTCTCACACTTCTTGTCACTGACCTAGCCCCCCCACCCAAGGGAAGAAAGGGGGTGAGGGAGGTAAGCAGCAAAGGACCCATGGGAGGAAGACAAGAAGTGTGATATACTGCCACCACTTGTAAAGCCTCAGTTTCCTCATCTGTAAGAAGAAAGAAATTATCTAGTGGTATAACAAAGCAGTACTTCCCCTCTTGTTCTCATTCTCTCTTCTTCCACATCTTCATGACCAGCCAAGGAGTGCTTTTCTCTTCCCCTCTCACACTCTGGCAGTCAGCTCCCATTATCAGAGATGACATAAACTGGATCTAAACTGGGTTTCTTTCCTTTTCTTTTTGGTCGTGGGACTTGAACTCTGGGCTTGGGCACTGTCCCTCAGCTCTTCAGCTCAAGGCGAATGCTCTATCACTTGAGCAACAGCGCTACTTCCAGTTTTCTGGTGGTTAATTGGAGATAAGAGTCTCATGGATTTTCCTGCCTGTGCTGGCTTTGAAAGGTGATCCTCAGATCTCAGCCTCCTAAGTATCTAGGATTACAGGCATGAGCCACTGGTGCCCAGCTAGATTGGGTTTCTTGCTACTAAGCTCTGAGTATGAAGAAGAGAAAGGATTTGTCCACTTGAGATGAAGAGAATACATGGAAATATCACAAATGCTTAGCATATTTTAGAGGTGTGTGTGTGTGTGTGTATGTGTGTATTGTGTGTGTGTGTGTGTGTGTGTGTGTGTGTGTGCAGGTTCTCAAGCTTGACCTCAAGTGTTTCCTTAGCTTTATCCCCTTATAGCTGGCATACTACCACTTGAGCTTTACCTCCAGTCCATCATTTTTTGCTGGTTAATTGGGGATAAAGTCTTTCAGACTTTTCTCTTCCTAATGGCTTCAAACCTGAATAGATCAGAATCAGACTACAGATGTGAGCCACTTGTATGGGGCTCTATTTTAGAGGTGTTTTTTTTTTCTTTTGTCCAAGGCTAGGTATCTGATGCTTACTTTCTCTCGTTGGATGGCAATCTATGACTTGGCAATCCGTCCTTGAGAGGCAGATTATTATCCCTCGTTTACAGATAAAGAAACTGAGGCCCAGAAG